TAATAAAGTAATTAAAATGCAGGCTCTGAATTCAGACATATGAGTTTAAAAATGGACCCATTAACTGTTAGAACCTCTTGGTATCTCCATTTCCTCATCTTACAAATTTTGAGGATTAAGTCAAGTCAAGTTAATTTTGAGGATTAAGTGATTTGTTTTTTCATGATGTACCTGAAACAATACCTGGCACATAGCATTTAGTTCTCATTATGTTTTTCTATCTCTTCTCCCTTGGGCCAAATATAGTAGAAAATATAAAAAAATAAGATTGCAATTCACATATCCGAAATAAAATGTTTAATAAACATTACTTCCCCTCCCCCAAAAAATGTGAGTCATGGATCACTAATAGTGAAAATGCTTGAAGTACTTAATACTTAGAGTATAAATGTTTATAGCATATATTTTGTTTTGGAATGAATTAGTAATTTATTTTGGAAATGTGGAACAAGCAAGCAAACAAACAATATATTGATATGTAAGGCAAAGCAAATCAGAGTCCCCCTAAATTCTGATGAATACTTTGTGGTGGCAAATAGGGCAGGATGCTAAATAAATAGTTTGCATTGCAAATCTACAAAAATAAAGAATCAATTAACTGTACTTTTGTGATGTATTGCTTAGAATTAGTAATTAAATCAAAGCATCAAAGATGAGGAATAAGTGAAGAAATAGTTTACATTATAAAATATAATTTTAAAATTTTGACCATGAAATGTTTTCATCTAACAATATCATTAAGACACAGGACTTCAAAAAAAAAAAAAAGACACAGGACTAGTCACATAAAATTAACCATGTTAGCTATATATTAGTGAATGTGATTATTTTACATATTATTATATTCATGAGATGATATTAAATCTGTTATAACTATGAATCCATGTATTCAGCCATATTAATAATAGTCATAATATCAATTGCTATCATCTGTATATTCTTTTACTTTAGTTGCTTGTAAAGGGCCCTCAGCAGATATCTGTCAAACGGATTCTTCTTTTTAATAGCCAAATTCTCCCATAGCTTGGGGGATTTGGTGAAAATCATCTGGACTGTTATTGTCCTTAATCTAAATTAAGTGTTGTTTATGCTCTGCTAGAAAGAGTGTCTTAATTGATATCTAAATTGGTTAAGCTCACTAAAAGCAGAATATAGGGATTTTAAATTCTCAGTTGCTGTTAGGGTAAATGAGTTAACACATGGAAAGCCCATCAGTACCTTGATCATAGTAAATATTCAGTAATACTCTTATTATCATTTTGAAAGAAATATTTCTTAAGGTACTATATGTTTATTAAGACATGACTAATCTAAGAAAAATAAAGTCATAGCCTAGACTTCATGTTAAAAGAAAAAAAGAAACACTAGAAAAATATCTTCAGTATTTAAGCTAGGCTCCAATGACAGAGCCATAAAGGGAAACACTGAGGAATTTACCAAATAAAATTTAAAACATCTGTGTTAAAGAAAATGTTCAACACATGAAAAAGTGCTCAAAATCCCTTGGCATCAGGGAAATACAAATCAAAACCTCAATGAGATACCACCTCACACCAGTCAGAATGGCTAAAATTAACAAGTCAGGAAATGACAGATGTTGGCAGGGATGCGGAGAAAGGGGAACCCTCCTACACTGTTGGTGGGAATGCAAGCTGGTGCAGCCACTCTGGAAAACTGTATGGAGGTTCCTCAAAAAGTTGAAAATAGAGCTACCATATGATCCAGCAATTGCACTACTGGGTATTTACCCCAAAGATACAAAAGTAGGGATTCAAAGGGGTACGTGCACCCCGATGCTTATAGCAGCAATGTCCACAATAGCCAAACTGTGGAAAGAGCCAAGATGTTCATCGACAGATGAATGGATAAAGAAGATGTGGTATATATATATACAATGGAATATTATGCAGCCATCAAAAGGAATGAGATCTTGCCATTTGCAACGACGTGGATGGAACTGGAGGGTATTATGCTGAGCGAAATAAGTCAATCAGAGAAAGACATGTATCATATGACCTCACTGATATGAGGAATTCTTAATCTCAGGAAACAAACTGAGGGTTGCTGGAGTGGTGGGGGTTGGGAGGGATGGGGTGGCTGGGTGATAGACATTGGGGAGGGTATGTGCTATGGTGAGCGCTGTGAATTGTGCAAGACTGTTGAATTACAGACCTGTACCTCTGAAACAAATAATACATTATATGTTAAAAGAAGAAGAAGAAAAAGAAGAAGATAGCAGGAAGGGAAAAATGAAGGGGGGAAATTGGAGGGGGAGACGAACCATGAGAGACTATGGACTCTGAGAAACAACCTGAGGGTTCCAGAGGGGAGGGGGGTGAGGGATGGGTTAGTCTGGTGATGGGTATTAAAGAGGGCACATACTGAATAGAGCCCTGGGTGTTATACGCAAACAATGAATTATGGAACACTACATCAAAAACTAATGATGTAATGTATGGTGATTAACATAACATAATAAAAAAAGAAAAAGATGGGGCGCCTGGGTGGCTCAGTTGGTTAAGCGACTGCCTTCGGCTCAGGTCATGATCCTGGAGTCCCTGGATCGAGTCCCGCATCGGGCTCCCTGCTCAGCAAGGAGCCTGCTTCTCCCTCTAACCCTACCCCCTCTCATGTACTCTCTCTCTCTCATTCTCGCTCTCTCAAATAAATAAATAAATCTTTAAAAAAAAAAAAAAGAAAAAGAAAATGTTCAACAAAATTAAATCTAAACAAACTTAAAAACATATATGCAACATGTTATAAAGGGTTAATATCCTTTATAAGTAAAGAACTCTTATGAATTGACTTTAAAAAATGAGAAAGGTACGAAAGAAAAAATAATTGCCTGAGGATAAATGTATAAAAAATGTTCGAACCAGCTAGCAACCCAAGAAAGGTAACTTAAAACAACTACAAACTGCCATTTTAAAATCAATTTGGTTGGTTTTTTTAAAATAATGATACGCAGTACCTTATCTGCATATCCAACAATTCAAAAGTTCTAAAAACTGCCTTTTGTAGCTCATTTGGCAGCAAAACGTAACCTGACTTGGACACTCCGGAAGCAAAACGGTGTTACCTGATACAAAGTACTCCTTATTTGTGCCTTTTAGTGCAAATTACATAATTATGGTTGCATAAATACTCATGTGTTTGATTATTAACTGCTTTCCCGGACTCTGCTCGGAGTGTTACGGGACAGAAGGCATTTGCATCATGTTAACTTCTGAAAATCAGAAATATTCTTAATTCCCAAACCTAACTGTCCCTAAAAGTTTTGGATGAAGGACTGCAGACCTGCATTTAATTTGACAGTACAGAAAAACAAAGTTATTCAGAAACCCCCAGTGAGATTACAAACTGTTCTATTTTGTGAGTGGGACAGCGATAATCTGGCAATTTATATCAAAAGCCCTAAAGGGGTATATGCCCTTTACTCCCAAATTCCACTTCTAGTAATTTATTACTATTAAATTATTAGGAAAATGATGAAAGATTTAGGTTTTAGTAAGTCCAAGACAGATGGTATATAACCGGTAAAAACTGGAAAGTCCCAAATACTCAGTGACAGAAGAGGTAGGGTCATCCAGGCTCTAGCCACACTAGAGACCACTGCTTGGCCACTTTTAAGTGATATTGTACAGTAATGCTCATTCACATTGAAGATGCCTGTGGTATCTTGTTAGGTAGAAATACCAGGCTCCAGGGCGCCTGGGTGGCTCAGTTGGTTAAGCGACTGCCTTCGGCTCAGGTCATGATCCTGGAGTCCCCGGATCGAGTCCCTCATCGGGCTCCCTGCTGAGCAGGGGGTCTGCTTCTCCCTCTGCCCTCTTCCCTCTCGTGCTCTCTGTCTCTCATTCTCTCTCTCTCAAATAAATAAATAAAATCTTTAAAAAAAAAAAAATACCAGGCTACAAAAACAATATGCACTATATGATCTAATTTCTTAAAAAAATATTTGTATTCATCTATGTCTAAAAATATTCAAAGGATATTCACCAAAATATTAACAGTGGCTATCTCTGGATGGCAACATTGCAGATGTTTCTAATTTTCTTTTTATAACTATGCCTTGTCTATAGTGCACATGTGTTATTACTACAATAATAAGACTTGTAAATTTCATTTAAGTATATCATATAAAGCACGCCAATATATCTGACTTAGATTCCAAGTTCTCTCTCTATATATAATTAATATCTATCAAGAAAAATATAATATTCATCATACTTATAAGAGTTAATAATTATAAAGGCTCAGTGTGTTTGGACAACAGTATCATAAAGCAAAGCCTTGTTTTCAAATAGCGTGTTTTTGCTTATAGAAGCCTTTACAGTACTGTTGATATTTTAAATGTGTATGTATAAAAATTAGCCATGAAGAATGGGAAATGTACATCATACTGCCAAGGGAAGTGGGCTCACAGTTTCAGACTTTATAAAAAAAATATGCCCAGAGAGTGTATTGCCAGCATTCAAATTCTGACCCATGTGGAGAGAACAGCAAGCTAACCATCTTGAATCGTGGGAGGTCCATTGAGAATTTATAATGCGTTTGTTTCAGTCATCAGAAACAGTTTGCAATCCTCGGAAATGTATTTTGACAATACGATCTTTATCCTGAAATACTCCTTTTAACAATACAAATAAATAAGAGAACCGTATGCACTTTCAGGAAAGCAGTTTGCCTTCTGTACTGCCTTGAGTGGTGATAACACGAGGACGTGCCATCCCACCGCTTGGCATGGGATAAACAGCTAGACCCAGCAGTATATCTGTGGAGAAGACAGCTCTGTGTCTTAACTCCCAATTTTTAAGTCAGTGCTTCTTGTAGTTCCTACAATATGCGTCAGAAATTTGGTGCTGACTCTGAATGCTCTTTCCACTTCGGTAGACTACTTCTGCAATCCGTGAACAATTAAATTGTATTACTTTTTATTAGAAATTGTGATATCTGTTGCTTCTTTACTGAAAGAAATAATTCTTTATTTTTCAGAGCTTCCATATGGCTGGGAAAAAATTGATGATCCCATATATGGCACTTATTATGTTGAGTAAGTCTTTAAGTTTCCTACTAATTTGTTATTAATATGTGGTGAAACTGTTTTAGTATTTCAGTTATTGAGCATGTGTGGCCAGCAGCACCTTTCCTTTCCTTTCATCTTACTTTAAAGTATCCACAAAGACTCTAGCAGCCCCAGCGAGCTGTCTCTTTCTTCTCCAGCTGGCTAATTTGCCATTCTTTTCCTTTGACTCATGATTCTAAAACACCAATTGGAAAAGTGTTTCACGCTGTCCTCCAAATGAGTGATAATTAAAGATATCAAAGTAAATGCCCTTCATTTTGCAATCAAAATGTTGGGAGCTGACTAGTTGTGCAAAAGAGATGTTCTATTAAACTAGATTTCAAAACCAGTTAGATGAAGCAGCCATACTTTCCAGTTGAAGGATAAAATAAAACTTAGATCTGTTTTGTTTTTTTCTGTTTTAAGGCCCCATTTCAAATCAATAGTATTCTTTCTGTAGATTGGACTTTTATGTTATCTAATGGAGGTTGCATTGCTTTAATGTATCTTAGCATATGAGTTATCCCCTCTATCCATTATTTTATTTCAAATAAAGCCCCTGTTAGGGATTAAATTATATACACATTAAGGAAAATCAGGAAAATAAGGAAATTCATAATTTCCAAAAGTTAAATATGCAGCTTACTTTTCTAGAACCCCCTTTTCTGATAGAGAATTTTTTTTTATTCCTCCTAGTATGTAATGTTGTTAATGTTATTTGGGTGAATAGCAAAGCCTACACATTGCTTAGGAGAAATGTACTACCCAAGAAATGCAGAGACTGAAAAACTAAAGGTGTTCACATTATTTATCAAGGTCTAACTCTGTTTTCTCCAATCACATTCTTTTTAACAATAATAATCTAGATGGTCAAGGGTTAGAGATTAATGACATTATTGCTAAATTGTTTTGCTAACAATATTCAGTCACTGAGCTTTTACTAAGTGTCAAGCCCTTCTTTGTGCTGGGGAGGTACTGATGAGTAAGTCCTGTGTGCTTCCGGCCCTTGAGCAGCTTTCTCATGAGCTTGGGTACTCTGACAACCATCTTCATTTGGAAAAACCCCAATTTTGGCACCACAGTCAGTCATCTCCAGTCAAGGTGAATTCACCTCATTTACCACATGCAATTTTCTTATATAGTATCTAGTGCTCTGATGTCAAGTGGATACTCAGTAGAAGCAAAAAGTAAAATAAATGCCTGGAGGTGTCGCTAATTGCAAAAATAAAGAGACATCCCTTGCATATAGTTATAAGGCCCCCTGCTCCCCCTACATTGCTAATCAATAAAAATACACATATTTTAATAATAATATAGCTGCAGCTTCTGGATAAATGTGTCAACATTGCAGGTTTCCAGTAAATGCTAGCTAGTCTTAAGTCACTAAATCAGGCTGTACTATGCCTAAGACTATTACATCGGAAATCCAAGGTAGTTCCAAGTAAGGAAAGAGAACTGAGGAATGTGACAAACCAGATCTCATGTTTAATACACTTCCTTGCAGAATTCATTGAATGAGAATTTTTTCTTTAGTCCAGATATTAGCAAATTACAGCAAGAGCCAGAGAGCAAATATTCTGGGGGGCCATATGACCTCTGTCACAACTATTCAGCTCTGCCACTGTAGCTTGAAAGCAACCATAGACAACACTTAAATGAAGGGACATTAGCTACCATCTAATAAAACTTTATTTACAAAAATAGGCAACTGGCCAAATTTGTCCTACCAACCCCCACCCGATTCTAATTCTTCAGATTCTTCTTCCATGTCCTCAACTGCTTTCAAGCTGGCTTCAGTGTGGAAAATAATATTTAACTCAAACCTTTCTTCTCTGCCTTAATTATCTATCATAGAGGTGAGACACCCAACACATCAGAAAGCAATGCTTCCTACCTTCTCTTTCATTGAAGTGTGTGTTCTTCATGTAAAGAGCTGCTACTGGTGGACCCCTTGTAGTTAGTTACTGAATTGGACACTAGCTGTGACCCTAAAAGATAATTGTCCTCATTATTTTTATACTTCAAATGATTGTCTTTTTTATTTGTTTTTGCTTAAATTATATTTCTGTCTGCATTTCTCTACTTCAATTCTCATGCATTCACTGTCATAGTCAGAAATTGTTCATAAGTTCGCCAGTCATGTCTTATATCATTAAATCAGTCTAACACATTTAATAATTTTAGATTTCAAGTGATTGTGACGTCATAGACACGGGTCTTAGTGAGTCAGATTTAACTTTCTTCAGATTGCATCCAGTTCTACTACTTGTCATGGTTTTTTCCCCATTACACGATTCCATAACATATACTAACACCAATAATTAGATGTGTGGGTGTCTCAGACTGACTAGAAAATAGAGACAGATAATTCAAACCTAAAGATAATTTTAAGTAGAATTATATTCCAGTATTGCTCAGAAACATCCTTTGGAAAAAATTCATCAAAACAAAATACCTCAATTTATTCTATATAATGTAAACATTACTTGAAATCAGGGATCTCTTCCATCACAACAAAGACAACTTTTCCATTTTACCTGAAAATATCTATTTATGTGGTTTGTTTTAACTGTTCAAAAGAAAATGAGTTGCATCTCCATTACACTATTATTTTCACAAGGTATGTATTGGTTCTAAATAGTAGTCTTGTTGGTGGAAACTATATGAATACATATGTGAGCATAGTGGTTATTTGTCACTCTCAGTGCACAGAGTATTTTTGTTAGAAAAAGGCCACCAAGTTCTTACAGTTAATTATACAGAAAAACAATAACTGTCTAGTTTAAGGTAAGTTTCTGTATCAAGTTTTCATTATAGACATCATAAGTATAAGATATAATATGCCTAGATTAAGACACTTCAGTTAATTGTAGTGATAACATTGATATCAATATCTTGGAATCATATAAATTTGTCATATTAAAATTCAGTTAATGTGAGAAAGCAAGGTGGTCTTCATTGTAAATCCGTAGCCAAGAAAATGTTGATTCACTAATTCTATTCGTAATAACAGTCAATGGGTTTTCTGTAGAGCTATCATTTTTGGTGTTTAGTTACACACTCACTTACACAATTAGAGGTGCAGTTACAAAATATGACAGACATTCCACCCTCCCACCTCGTGGCAAAAAAAGTCTGTGCTGGGACACCAGAAGTCTAACTTAGCAGTCAGCTGCTCTCTTCAAATACACTAGCCTACTTGGGAGCAGAAGTTGGACTGTGGTCCCTCTGTGTTCAGCAGGTCATGTCAGGTTGAAACGAGCCCATGCCTCGGACATAGTTGCATATGCCCTCTTTCTCCTTGTCAGCCCCAGACAAGCAGATAGGAGTTCCAGCAGTCAACAGCAGGAAAGTGTTTATACAACTTTCTGTGCCATAATTCTGTCCTCTGCAAATTCAGTTTTAAGATGATAGGTTTAATGTATTCAAAAGTCAGAAAAATCATCACCACCATCATCGTTACTGTATCACCAAAATAGTTAACATTTATTGAGTGACTGCTTAGTATGTGCCATGAACTGGGTTAAGCGCTGGACAGTCTTTACCACATTTATAATCCTCACTATAGCGATAATGACGTAGATTGTCTTAAGTGTGCAGATAGGGAGATGCTGGCTGAAGAAGTTAGGTAGCTTACCCAGTTTCACACATTATTGAGAGGAATGGCTGTAATTTAGATGTAGGCACTCTGACTGGAGAGCTTAGACTCCAAACTCTTGCTCAAAATCATCATCCGGTAATGAGCATTCAAAATCGGTAATATTGTAAACAAGCCTCTGAAACTCATCACTCAGAAGAATGAGGGGTCCCTAGAGAATGTCTGCTCTCTGGCCCACCTCTAGTAGTTTTGCGGTCACAGAAAGATGTCCAACAAGGGGAGGTCGTGCTGCACACAGCCGGGGAGACTCTTCTGACCCAAGCATTCTGAGCCTTTCGCTCCATTACCAGTGGCTCGGGAGGGGCTCTAGACAAGATGGCCACTGGTAGTGAGACTTGCAGGGCCTGAAAGAAGAGGCGTTCATACTGGGGGGACCTTAACATAGGGATGTTGGCACTGGGTGGAGCAGCAGGGGCTGCCACACAGCTCTGCATTGTAGAGAACAGTGGGCCCCACTTGACATCTGCATCCGCAGACAGGGCAGATGGAGCAAGTCTGTACTCTGTGGAGCAGCAGAAAGAAGTCAGCCCAATTTTTCCTGACAGACACCAAATCCATGAGAGTACAGCACTTAGCAATGTATTAAGAAGTCCTGAAGTTGCTAACTAGAAATGTAACTGTCACTGTTCATAAAGAAAAGAAAAAAAAAAATTCAATGAAAAAAGTGCAAAATGTAGAGTTGAACAGCTGTGACTTTTGTACCAATGTGGTTTTTTTCTCCTCTTTTGTGAAATTATGTCTGCTGGGTACGTTTTGGTTTCAATGGCAGTTACACAATTTGCTTAAGTAGCTAGTCCAGAAGACACAATTTCCTGGAGCAGCTTTCATGCAAAGCTACCTCCTCTGGCACAGAGGGAGAAGCAAACCATATAACTACAGTTAGAGTGATAGTGGGGACTGACAGATGTGATTTTCATGGAAAGGTTTTACAAGTTTTTCATGTGATGTCACACATCTGCTGCTCTAAAATGTTACTTGTGTACAATTCCAGAAAGTCTGAAAGATACCGCACAATATCTTCAATGTAACATTAAATGTAAAAGGAAAATCACATTCATTTCATGGCTAATGATGAGTATTCGTCATGATGTTGACGAAAGTAGCTAGAGAGGATTTCAGCTCAGTATCTTATCCTAAGGATGTTTCTCTTCTTCGTGGCTTTGAGTAATTTTCTAAATTTTCCCAGAAAAACTTCCTAACTTTAGAATTTTTTACAAGTCAGCATGAACGTAAAACATTTCCAATTAGAAATAAACAGAAAAGAATACCCTTTACAAAACCCTGTTTGTTCTTAGAGAATTGTTTTTCTGAGAGCAAAAGTTAATTTTTC